TCTGCTCATTTAGCACCTGCTGAAATATGTGGGGATTCTCATTTATTGGTACACTTTGTATAAAAGCATGAACACATACACCAATGTCAGAGATTGTAAAATTGGATTGTGAAAGGAGTATGGATTTATTTTGAATGGAAAGAATTGGACTTTCCATATTCCTGGACTGTATAATTGGAAAAGATTTATTAAAGACTCTAGAGCATGCAGTGCATACTGCTTTGGACAGAGATTACAGCTTTGTCTAATTTAGATGGCTTTTTGGCATTCTTTCTACCATAGCATCTTGCAACAGTTTATAAATTGAACTATCTTTAATAGTTACTCTCTCCTGCTAACTTTTCAGTAACTCCCCAAAAGTGCAAATGAATGCAGTATAGCATGTGACTACAGTAAGTACATACATTTTTTTCCCTATCTCACAAGGAACTTCAAAATTCATTTTCATATATGATTATCACAACATTAGTGGCTCTTTGGTTAGCATGAAGGAGGAGCCTTAAAATTCCAGCATTTCATTTTTATTTAGGTCTGCTTGGCTCTGTGTGAAGCTGATTTTGTACAACAGTGACAGCCCTGACCTCCACATAAATCCCTAGCCAAACAAATCTTCAGGTATGACCCAGTAGCTGCTTTTATGTGAAGGGTATCACAGAATCAGAATCACAGAATCACCCGGGTTGGAAGGGACCTCAAGGATCATGTAGTTCCAACCTCCCTGCCTAGCAGGGCCACCGAACATCCACATTCAGATCAGGTTGCCCAGGACCCCGTCCAACCTGGCCTTGAACACATCCAAGGATGGGGCATCCACAACCTCCCTGGGCAGCCCGTTCCAGGGCCTAACCACTCTCCTTGTAAAGAACTTCCCCCTAACATCCAACCTCAATCTTCCCTCCTTCAACTTGGATCCATTTCCCCTAGTCCTGCTGTTGTCAGCCCTTCTGAAGAGTTTACTCCCCTCCTGGGTGTAGGTTCCCTTCAGGTATTGATAGGCTGCAATGAGGTCACCCCGCAGCCTTCTCTTCTCCAGGCTGAACAAGCCCAACTCCCTCAGCCTGTCCTCATAGGGGAGGTGCTCCAGCCCCCTGATCATCTTAGTGGCCCTCCTCTGGACTCTTTCCAAGATCTCAATGTCTTTCTTGTACTGAGGGCTCCACACCTGGACACAGTACTCCAGGTGGGGCCTCACAAGAGCCGAGTAGAGAGGGACAATCACCTCCCTGTCCCTGCTGACCACCCCTCTCCTGATGGAGCCCAGGATCCCATTTGCCTTTCGAGCTGCCAGAGCGCACTGCTGGCTCATGTTCAGTCTCTCGTCCATCAGGACCCCCAGGTCCTTCTCTGCTGAGCTGCTCTCAAGGACCACTCCTCCCAGCCTGTACGGGTGCCTGGGGTTCTTCAAATGCAAAACCTTGCACTTTGCCGTGTTGAACCTCATTAGGTTCACCCAAGCCCAGCCCTCCAGCCTGTCGAGGTCCCTCTGAATGGCATCCCTTCCTTCCACCGTATCAACCGCACCACTCAGCTTGGTGTCGTCAGCAAACTTGCTGAGGGTGCACTCAATTCCCTCATCGATGTCATTAATAAAGATGTTAAAGAGCACCGGTCCCAAGACAGACCCTTGGGGGACACCACTTGTTACCGGCCTCCACCTGGACATGGAGCCATTGACCACCACCCTCTGTCTGCGGCCTTTCAACCAATTGCTTATCGATCGGGTTGTCCACCCATCAAATCCACTTCCCTCCAATCTGGAGATGAGGATGTGGTGGGGGACCATGTCAAAGGCCTTGCTCAGGTCCAGGTAAATGGCATTGGTCGCCTTCCCTTCATCCACCAATGCCATCACTCCATCATAGAAGGCCACAAGATTAGTCAGGCATGACCTTCCTTTGGTGAAGCCGTGCTGTCTGTCTCGGATCACATGCTCATTCTTTATGTGATCGAGCATGTTGTCCAGGAGGATCTGTTCCATGATCTTCCCAGGCACGGAGGTGAGACTCACCGGCCTGTAGTTCCCCTGGTCCTCCCTGCTCCCTTTCTTGTATATGGGAGTGACGTGACCCTTCCTCCAGTCATCCGGGACCTCACCTGACAGCCACGACTTCTCAAATATGATGGAGAGCGGCTCGGCAACCACCTCAGCCAGCTCCTTCAGGACCCTGGGATGCACGCCATCCGGCCCCATAGCCTTGTATTCATTCAGTCTAAGGAGGCACTCTCAGACTTGCTCTGCCCTTACAGTGGGGAGGGATTTACCTCCTTGGTCCCCACATAGAGGTTTGGGGATGCAGGGTTCAGGGACATGAAAAAGACTAGAATCCTGGCCACCAGTGAAGGCCGAGGTGAAGAACTCATTCAGCACCTCAGCTTTCTCTTCATCTGTTGAAGCCAGTTCTCCTTTTAAATTTACCAAAGTAGGTACGCCCGTTTTGGCCTGTCTCTTCTGGCCAATGTACCTGTAGAAGGTTTTCTTATTGTTTTTCACATCCCTTGCCAAGTTCAGTTCTGCCTGCGCCTTGGATTCCCTGATCCCGTAGCTGAAGGGTAGCCTTCAGCTTCTTCAGTATAAACTCTAGGTTGCTGAATTTACAAGTATTTCCCAGTAGTTTCCACTGGAGTCCACTGGTGATCAAAGCCACTGGTGAACTTCACACCAGTTGAGAATCATCCACATGTTGGGTTTTGATGTATTAAAATAAAAACAAAAACAAAAACAAAACAAACAAACAAACAAAAAAAACCTTTTTATTGCTAAGAAATCGAAAGATTACATTTCTAGTTAATTACAAGTTTCAGGGCACAATCTGTGAACTGAAGTATGAACTCTGCTTAATGTGCTTCTGATTGTTTTGTAGCCATTCAGGGATTATTTACATCAATAGACAAGTTATAATGAAAGAAGATGAGATTCAAGTATTCTCAAAAACTTTCAAGGAGCTTATTTGATCCAACTATTACGGTTCAACAGGTTTGTACATTATATGCTATAGTTTTGCATTCTAACATGAATTAGGTGTAAGACTATCCAGAGGTAAGAAGATGTTGGTTTGTGGCTGTTCACAAATCACAAATGTTTGAGCTGATTCTAGCAGTGACCTTCTGCAATCCTGTAAGACTAACTTCTCCAAACCTCTTTTTTCCTTTTTTTTTAATTCAAAAAAGTAAACCAAAACCACTGTGTTTTCTCACAATGCCTGAAACTTAATCAGTAGTAATGAGTTCCCTTATAATCTTTTTATTAAGACTACATCAAGAAATTAGGAAAAAAAAAAAAAAAAAGAAACTATTCAAAGCAAATGGAGTAACAGCTGAAGAAATCCACAAGCTTGAAGAAAATGCTTGACATTTATTTTTAGCTCATTGCATCCACTATTGCAACCGTCTATAAATCTAGATAGTTTCATCCACAGACTACATTATCTGGCAATAAATAAGTTCTTACACAAATTATTGCATGAGCAGTTTTCTGCATAGATTTAAATGTGACACAACTCTTCCAGAGCAGCCAGTGTGTATGAAGTTCAGCTAACAGTAAGTCCCTACCACTCAAAGCTACCCTTACCTATCAAAGCTTTAACAGTGTATTTACAGGGCAGTGAGCACAGGTGCAGATATCCCACCTGAAAATAGGTATCTGCACATACAAACAGATCTAGTTGGCATTTGCTAAGAGATCAGTGAGGCTACAAGACACTTTGGTATAATGAAGCATTACTTTATAGTGCAAGGGTCTGCATAAATCATTTAACTGATTGTGCAATGCCTCACCTTCAGCTGTTACAAGTTTTATATTGTGCCCAAGTACCTTTTAGTAATTGAATGTAAGTGAGGTAATTTTCAGGTATTTTCATCCATGAATGACTGCGTATTGCCCTTATTTCCCTAGACTAACCTTGTGCCTCCTTATGAAAATACCGAGTGACCCTCGTGGGTCCTGTCTGACTCAACATATTCTGTGATGCACAACTACCTGTTGTTTTAGCCTGATGTTTCCACTGAATGTCTACACACAGCATTTTTATTTCTCATTTTCGAATGCCTGTCCACAGATACAGCGTTTGACTTGCAGAGGTGAGAAAGACAACTGGGATTCGCTGTGAAGAGGGCTGGGGGAGGGACCGGGACTAACCTTTGCTCTTGTTTTGCCCCAGATTTTCGGCTTTGCACATGAATGGATACTCTTCTATTGAGATCTTTCTTTAGGGGGATGAAACAAATTAATGGGAAAAGAATACCCGTGTATTCACTTTGTGTGCCATCTCCGCCAAGTTTTTTTTTTGTTCTGAGACTCCATGGAAAAAATAAGAACCGCGGAAGCTTGAAATGTCTCACGCACAACTTTCAGAGCAGGCAGGGCATCCCAGCATTCCTCACGCTCAGTTCCACAGTGGAACTACAGACCAATCCGTTATCAGCTACCAAAGTTTCTTACCAAGGATGCAGTGTAAAATAAGTTACTACAATGCTTCTGAAGTCCATCTGTCTTTCAGAAAATAAAACATTTTCTTCTTCATTGTTTAATAGCTGCTCTCTAACAAAAGATAGAGGTTCGGTTTTTATTGTTTTTGTTGTTGTTTCATTATTCATTCAGTAATTTGGGAAAATAAATCTTATCTGCAGAAAAGAATGTTTTTCCATCTTGAAAACAGAAATCTGAGTGACAAAATGCCCCTATTGCCCACAGGATACAATTACATGATATGACTTTTTCTTTAAGAACTTTATTATGTCTGCAGGGCTAAACATTGCATGTCCAAGTAATCGATGGGTGGACTTGCTGCTAACTAAGTGTCTTCTACCCCCTTGCTGACATGCAGGCCTTCAGACATTTAGGCTACTGAATCTTAAAGTACTTTCAGGGGATACAATGACAACGTGATCAGCAGTAAGGAAAGTGTCCTTCATTCACTGACAACAAACCACCATCAGCAGTGGGATTAATAATATTTCAGGGCTATCCTACGTTGGAAACCACCCCGATCTTTTTCAAAAAAAAAAAAAAGGAAATTCTCTCTCCAACCTCTGAGATGTATTAAGAATATAAAGGGTATAGAATTCAATGGGCATCTCCTCTTAGTTTATCAACTATGTTTTTACAAAGGAGAAACATGAATGACTGTATATAAACTGGCATGGTCACACAAGTTAGTAGCTTAAATTCATGTTAAAAAGAGACAAAACAAACTATTTTATTCAAATCTATATATTTAAATGTATATTTGTATCATATACATCAAACCAGTATGTAAGTGTTAAACATAGAAAGGACATACACAAGTAGCAGGAAGGTGAACAGATCTACCATGTAAATTAATTCTTTGCAATTCCCAGAAAGTAATATTTTCCTATTACAAAAACAACTTGATCTTGTCTTGTGGCTAGAGTTCTGCATTTAGACTCAGATCCCCAGCTTTCCACATTTTTGTTTTTCAATAAGCATTATCTGAAGCATTCAGATGGCTTGATAATAATACAATACAAGCACTTCAGTTTTACGATTAAGAAGTTCTTAATACTCGTGACTGCACTTCACTTGACAGGCTAAGCATAAAGCACAGTGGCAGGTGAAGATCTGGGTCTTTGGGCTGTGAGAGTGAGCTGAGACTGGAAAAGGACTCCCCTTTTGCTGGTTGTCTGGTTTACATTCAGCCTTTTGGACGGATGTACTGGCCCTCACAGCAAGTAGTTCTGCTTTTGATGTTGAATAAAAGTAGTCTAGATTAAACAACTGTTTTTTTGAAAAACACAATCAAACTTAACTTATACTAATTAACTGCATAATTACAAGCTAATTTGCATGGTTAACAAACAATGCCTTTTGTCCTTTGGGGCAAAAAATAATTCCCCCTTTTAAATAGTTTATTTTGGGTTTACTTCTTATCCATCTTTCTTCCTGCTATTTTACCAAAATAAACATATTTAATTGTTTCTTATTAATACTGGTAACAAGATCAGAATCTCCCTACACATATGATGGCTTTGTCAGAGTGGTAATTTGTATTTCCTAACCTTGTACTTGGTCATCAGGCAATCGTCCTATGTCAGGCAGCATAATGCTTCAAACCTCTGAGCTATGGAGTCCTAGCTCAGCCAGCTGGAAGCAGAATAGGTTTCCCCTTACCCATTGCCAATGTGCTGGACTCAACTAATTCCCTGAAGAAAAATGACTATATGCTTGGCACACAGCGGCTACTAAATTTAAACTCCTCCCACCCCTATATACTAAGCTTTCTTTCACTTACAGTGCTAAAAGGAAGTTTCAGGGAGATGGAAAAAGTGGCAGATGCAGCCAACCTGACATGCCATCTTCAATCATTTTGGCTTCATTACCTGCACCACTCCACATCCGATTGCACTGCTTCAATTCTCTCACAAATTGCTGTCATCTGTAATAACATGTGTGTCTAACCAGCAAATCTGACCTGAAAGCAGATTTTCTAAAAAGGAATGGAAGAAGAAAATAGTTGGAATACTCACTTTTACTACATGAAAAACAGTTTTAATTAGAGTTCTCAGCTGTTCCTGGGACCTCTACAGGTTTATCCAACATCATATGGAAGAATCATTTTATCTCCCTCTTGTGATAGTTTAAAATAAGGGTCACTGAGCTGAACAAATCCTCACTCTGTGACTTGGCAAACAGTAATTTAACCCACACATCCTGAGTTTTCCAGTGTTCCTTTGTTCTACAGAAATCTTCACTGAAGAACTAGTACCTTTACCTCAGATGAGAACGTGATGAATTAGCCATGTATGGTGTAAACCTGGTGGATAGTAGATGGATGAACATATACAAACAACTCTGTTTTAAGAGATGGTAATAAAATTCAATTAAAAGCATGATTCTCTGATTCTGTAAAAAATGAAATCAGGTTAGTTTTGTTCGGTTTCAATAAAAATAGGATTCTCTTCTTTGTTTTTATTCATCTAATTTTGAAACATTGTAACTGTCTCCAGTTTCCAGGATTCCTACAAAGCTTTTCTATGAGAAGGCAAGACAGAATGACCCGTTAAAACCTTTTACAGCCATTCTTTGTATTTATACTAACATTGCGATGAACGTACACTAACTTGACAGAAGAAGAAAATGGTATGTTACATGTTAAGAATCCTTATGCACATCCCTTAAATTAAATAGAAATTAGAGATCAGCAAGTTTGCAGGTGATGCCGAGGTGTGTGGTGCAGTCAACGTGCTTGAGGAATGTGATGCCATCCATAAAGACCTGGATAGGTGTGATATGTGGGCACGGGAGAACCTCATGAGGTTCACCAAATCCAAGTTCATGGTCTTGTGCTTGGGTCATGGCAACTCCTGCTATCAGTACAAGCTAGGGAATGAAAGGGTGGAACATAGGCTTGACAAAAAGGACTTGGGGGTACTGGTGGATGGCAAGCTGGACCCCCAAGTGCACTCGTAGCCCAGAAAGTCAACCAGATCCCAGGCTGCACCATAAAAAGCGTGGCCAGCAGGTCAAGGGAGGTAATCCTGCCCCTCTATGCTGCGCTGTGAGACCTCAATTGGAATACTGCATCCAGATGTAGAGTCCTCAGTACAGAACAGACACTGACTTGCTGGAGTGGGTCCAGAGGAGGGCTACAGAAATGATCCAAGGGATGGAACATTTGTCCTATGAGAACAGGCTGAGAGCTGGGGCTGCTCAGTCTGGAGAATGCTCCAGGTAGACCTGAGAGCTGCCTTTCAGTATCTGAAGGGGGGGCTGTAAGAAGGAATGGAACAGACTCTTTAGCATGGTCTGTGATGATATAGCAGAGGGAAATGGTTTCAAACTAAAAGAGGGGAGAATTAGAGTGGACATAAGGGTGGTGGGACACTGGAACAGCTTACCCAGAGAGGTGGTGGATGCCCCATGCCTGGAGACAGTCATGATCAGACTGGATGGGGCTCTGAGCAGGATGCCTAGGTGTTCCTGCTTATTGCAAGGAAGTTGGACTAGATGGCCTTTAAAGGTCCCTTCCAACCCAAAAGATTCTATAATTCTATGACTTTTCTGCTTAGACCAAAAACTTAGGGATTTGTGTGTTTGTGTGATACATTCTTATGCTGTATTGTCTAAATATTATGAAGCAATAGAGCCAGTATTACAGTTCTTCTTATATAAAAGTAATGGCGTTGTAGAAAATAGTCTTTATCTGTGGCAAGTGCTTTTCAGGTTGCACAATCTCTGCTGCTGTTCTGTTCCTTTCCAATACACTATTTGGTTTTGTGGCCTTAAAGAAGCTTCAAAATTGCAGAAATTGTTTGTAGAAAACAAAGCAAACAAAACTAAAAACCAAACATAAAACAACAAGCAAACCAACAAACACAACAAAAACTAGAGGCCTTATATCCACAACTGATCATTCTGCTACAAAGGTGCACAATTTTCACCTCATTTCTTTGAGACTTCAGGAGTAACAATAGCAGAACTGTTTGTTTTTTTTTGAAAAGTCTTTCTGTTTTATACTGAGATGAACATAGAATCTTCTATTTAACTGCAGAGCCAGACCACTTGGCTGAGGTGTGAGAGATGCAGTTTCATGACTGTACTTCAAATAAGTGAATATTATTTAAAGTGACTAGATTTAATCTAACAGAAAACCGAGGAGAGAACTATGCTAAAGTGCTAAATGGTTTTGTTGTTCTGGCATTCAGTAACATATTCTGCACCAATGTTTTACTCATCCTTTCTTTGAGTCTTCATTAGTAGGTTATTTTGGGATGGGTTTCTTTTTGTTGGGACTTTTTTTTTTTTTTTTTCTGGCCTTTGTACGATGAAGAAAGCTTTCCATAAAAAGTAATGACAAGCATAGTCTATAGACTGGATTTTAACTTCCATATAACTGAAAAAAAATCCCTTATTGCTTCCATCTATAATAGAGGATAGCTATTTCAGGGAAAAAAAGTCAATGAAATGGTGCACCTTTCACCAAAAGATTTCCAACTATTCCATCACTACATATACAGAAACTTGTTTTAAATTCAACTTTTTGAAAAGTTGCTATTTTCCATAGTTTTCTTATTCTTCATAAAGCTCAAGAGAGGCAGTACAATTTGGACAGTGTTCCTGTAAATCGATCTGCCAGGACTGAGGAATGTCAGCAATCAGCAAGCAGAGTATAAAAACCTTTGTAAAGAAAAGATGCTCCCTTCGAACTCTTAACCAGTAATCATTTTTATTAATTTATTTTTAAAATAAGGACAGATAACAGTAATAAATAAAGAGCAAATAGAAGTGTAGTACCTAGCACATGCTTGATCCTCGGACCAGTCTTCTCAGTACAAAAAGTGTACTAGGAGCTCTATAGTATGGTCCAACTTTTGGCTTACCTGGGCCATACGGTGTGAAGAGGAACAAACTAGAGCCACATAGGTTGCTCCAAAACTAATGCCTCCTATTTATTTCCACGGAAACTGAAACAAATAGAAAGAGCTTAACAGCACAGTTTGATAAATTCTCAGCTACAAAACACTCTTTCAACACAGTCACCACCACATGCTGCACATTTTTGCCAGCAATGAACAAAAGCCTGCATGCTGCACTTGTAAAAATCTGCACCAGTGGAGATGGCCACTGTTGGCACTGTTGAAAAGCACCGCCCACCCCTCACTGTGCCCACATCCACTGTTTGGCCTCTATCAACATTCGTAAGTGTCGGTGAATGTCAGTGGGTGCCATTTTTTCTGCATGGAAGAACTCAGTTACACACATCTATTCCATGTGCACTTCCGTGTCAGACACCATTCCGTCAGAGCGCCCGTCTGCTGCCATCTGTCACATGGCAACAACATGGGATGGGATATTGGTGGGAAGGTTCAACCTCTACTGCCCTACCACCAGCATCTGACTGACAGCGTGGGCCAACATAATAAAATAGGTGTTATCTTCCAAGCAGCCCTCATAAAAATATATATTTAATGTACACAAAGTAACACCTACTTACTTCATTATTTATATTTTTACTTTTTAATGAGAACATATTTCAAGAAGCAACAAAGCCATGAAACTAGTGGGACGTGACCGTTCTTGTGCAACGAACGGCTCACCCTGGTGCCACGGCAATGGCCGCAGTTCTTAGTGAGCTCTCAGGGCGTTCCTCGGAGATTTGTAATGAAGTTTCACTCTTCCCGTGCTTCATCCCGAAAACAGTTGTTCCCAAACGCAGGTGCCGCCAAAACGCGGTGAGACGAACGCGGCGTGACGGCGAAGCGGGGCCGTTTCTCTGCTACAGAGGGCTTACAGAAGTCACGTTTTTACTGCACCGCCGTGCCTTCCGCCTGAAAGCTCACGTGCTTATGTACACTGAGAATCGATTCGCAAACAAACCAAGGAACCGATGACTTTTTCGGCAACCTTGAAAGGCATCCTCAAATTCCCGCATCAAAACGGAACCAGCGGCCGCGTCGTCTTCGTTGCGCGGTCAGCCAACGCAGCGCAGCGCAAGCGCGCGCCCCGCGCCGGGAGCGGCGCTGCGTGAAGGGACGGCCGAGGGGTGGCTGCGCGCGCGGGGCCGGGCGGGGCGGCTGGGCGGGCGGAGGCGCCGCCATGATGGCGCGGGGCGGGTGCGGCTGCGGGTGGGCGTGCGTGGCCTGAGTCTCTGTACCAGATGTGCTAAAATACCTGGTAGCGTAGGCCAAAAGGTAGTAACTAAGGTAAGCGCCCGTCGTCAGTGTACAGCTTGCTTCTAAAATGCCTCCGTCAGCCTCTTTAAGCAACAAGCTGCTTGTTTTTGAGATTGTGATGCCTTTTTGTACTTTCCCAGTTCTGTGCATGGCAGAATTGTTTTACGGTGTAATGGGTTATTCATATCAGTACTGATGTGAATACTGATAATCCCATGTTTCTAGGAAAGAGTTTGGAAAACTCTAAAAGAGAGGAACATGTCTTGAACTGAATTATTTTTTCATTAATTTGAGTGTCCTGCTAATAAAGCAGCTGAAACTGCATCTTATGATCTTAATGAGAAAGGGGCCATTTTTTCCCCCTTGTCTTCCTCTGGACACTTCCATAAGAAAAAGGCAGTGTGTGGCTCAGTATTGCCTCAGAAAACAAATGGAAATATTTTTTGAATGTATGAGCTTTGAAGAGAAAATCTTCAAAGAAGGTTGTGTCACAATGAAAGTGTCTGGATGGAGGCTCAGCGCCAAAGATAGGTCTGTTTTCAGTTACAGCAGGGCTAGGGAACACTGTAAAGAATACTGGTTGACCTAGAAGGTAACAAAGTAAAGTACAGATTTTGGAATGGGAGAAATGGGAAAATAAAAGAAATAGAGATCATAAAAGAGAAAATACAGAACAAAATATAGAGAAAGAAATGTGTGGAGGAGAGTAGAAGGAAGAAATAGGCACAAAATCTCATAAGAAAACCAATTGTAGGATCTTTTTAATGGTATGAATTAATCATACGAGTGTAGTAGAAGCAAGAAAAACACACAGAATGTCACATTTTTCCAAAAGAAAACGGTAACTTTTAGTATTTACTCTTTCTACAGTGTACTGATTGAGATTTTAATATCACAGAATCACAGAATCAGAGAACTGTAGGGTTGCAAGGGACAGCTGGAGATCATCAGGTCCAACCCTCTGCGAAAGCAGTTCCCCGCAGTGGATTGCACAGGAAGGCATTCAGGTGTATACTGGATATCTACGGGGAAGGAGACTCCACAAGCTCTCTAACCAGCATCTTCCAGTGCTCTGTCACCTTCAAAATAAAGGCGTTTTTTTTTCATGTCTATACACAACTTTGTGTGTTCCAGTTTGTGCTCATTCCCCTTTTCCTGTCACTGGGCATTGTTGAAAAGAGCCTGGGCTTATCCGCTGACACCCACCCTTTATTAGCATTGAGGAAGATCTTCCCCCCCCCCAGTCTTCTCTAGGATGAACAGTCCCAGTCTTTCCCAGGAGGAAGATGCTTTATCTTTTTGGCTCTCCGCTGGACTCTTAGATGATCCCTGCATTTTTTGAAGTTGGGAGCCCAGAACTGGACACATCATTCTGAATGCAGCCTCACCAGGGCAGAGTCGAGGGGGAGGATCACTTCCCTCAACCTCTCGGCCACACTCTTCCTAATGCACCCAGGATGCCATTGGCTTAGGACACCCTGCTGGCTCATGGCCACTCTGTTGTCCAGCAGGACCCCCAGTGCTTCTCTGCAGAGCTCCTCTTCAGCAGGTCAGTCCTTAAGCTTTACTGATGCATGTAGTTATTCCTCCCCAGGTGTAGGACTCTACGCTTGCCCTTGTTGAACCTCATAAATTTCCTCTCCACTCAGTTCTGCAGTCGATCCAGGTCTTGTTGAATGACAGCACAACCTTCTTGTGTGTCAGTCACCCTCCCAGCTTTGTATCATCAGCAAACTTGCTGAACGTGTATCTTCATCCGTATCAATAATGAAGATGTTGAACAAGACTGTTCAGTACGAACTCCTTATGAAATAAGGAGTAATAACTTATATAATTTAGGCTACTAAGAGATAATTGAAATATTTTGAGTGGTAGATAAAAACAGCAGCACACTGTTTTTTTCATAATTATGTGTCACTAACCCTAAATAGGAAAACACCTTTCTGGAATAGATCACACAGTCACTTCTCTTTTAATTATTTGTTAGGTATTTTGGAAAGGAACAGTGAATTCAAACAAAAACGCCTGCAGTGTAGAATACTAACAAAGCATTGTAATGATTACATACTGTGAAAGGTTAGTTGAAATATTAATTAATGAACAGTTAAATTTTTGTTATTACACGACTGTCAGCAAACTTATACAATGGATTTCCTTCACCATCCATAAAGCAGGTATAAGTCTTTGAAATAAAATATTTTCATGGCAAAGCATTTAATTCTAATAAATTTGCTAAAAATACTCCATGTGGTCAAGTTCAGACTGTTCTGTAGCTTACAAACAATTCTGTAGTTTGCTAATAATTTGCTAAACTCCCGTATCTGATTATGTTTTTTTTCACGTAACCTGACCTTTCCCATAAGTATGCATACTTGTATTACTTCAGTATCCTTGGCTTACTTGACTTCCAAACTGCAACTACAAATTTATTGTTTAAAAGAGAAGCACACAAAGGCACTTGATTTGATCATTTTGGCTTTTTACAGTCAGCAAAGAGTTTGTCTCCCCTGTCTCCCCTGCAGAATTAAACATAATCTGACTATCTCACAGATTAGATATTTTCACAATTATCTTGAAAACCATCTTATTAAAATGCTGCAAGGCTAATCTTGTTAAACAATTGTGACAATGCTGCTTTTGCACAAGGTTTGAAGCATCATTGCTGCAGTGTCCAGTGGGATGATTTCACCCTGGCGTAGTCCTGTGGGCAGTCTTTATCTATAGTGGAACAGAACTGCATCACTAATTAATTGGTTGAGTAAAATAACTCTAGGTTTAAGGTGAAGGCTTACACCTAAGCTGTGCAAGATGTGTTTTTGTAGGGCTGTCTGAATTTTTAGGATATTTCTGGCATGGTTTGAATTTCTTATGCTAAGTCCTAGTCATTCACCCTAGCGGGGTTCTGCCTGTCCTCTCCCAGTTTTGTTGATTCTCTAGAAAGTGCTGCTTCTCTTGTGATAATTCAGTCAATATAGCGATGTTTCACAAAATTAGTATCTGTGTTACATCACAAGATTTGTACGCTGCTGCAGCTACTCCTTCCTTAAAGTAGAACAGTTGCTCCTTGACAAATTCAGTCAAGGCGCAATTGCTGTTCTCAAGGTCAGCTTCAGTGTTCCTGACTGGTAACCCATATGTTAGAGCTGGCTTTCTGAGTTAATCATCTGCAAGTTAGCAGTTGGGAGACTTGCAAATGCTTTTTAAATTCATGCTGTTACTGCCCACGACAGCCCTAGCTGTAGGAGGAAAGCTGCATACGAACTCGTGTGTTCTTAGAATTCTGCTGAAACCCTCACATATGCAGTTAAGGTATTATTTGTGTAGCCTTGCCAGCTCTTCAATATTTTATCTTCACAAATCACAGACTCTGTGCAAGGTTGCCAGAATCCTGTCACATACAAGGGACTTTGATCAGGTTACACTGTTTTTGTCAAGCTTGTGTTTGGTCAGTTGAAGGATGTATCTGCTGTGCAGCTTTAGCCTCTAGGTGCAAACAGCAGCACAACTCCGCTTTGTTTGCAGTCAGCAGTTGTTCTGCAAAGCATGAGTGGCTTGGAACTACCCGATAATATCATTTTCATAAGCACTAATTGGCAATACTATTATTTGTTCCTGTTTCCTGATTTTTACAGTAATTGCAGTCAGCAAGACAAGTCAGCACGTCTGGGTGCATCTGTGTTATACCTTTGGTGCACACATTTCAAGCATAGCAACTCTTCTTTGTGCTCAGTGAAAGAAGAGAAGCATCAGGCAGTAATAAAAATATAACTTATTTAAGTTAGTTTAAACTCTGCGTGTCTTCTGTACAGTATAATTATAGCTCCATTTTCTTAATGCGATTGTATACAAAAGGAAATTACCAAGCATGTCTAACTATAAAAGAAAAATAAAATAGAATTACACAATTGCAAAAAGCATGCTGTAACATACAGCTCTGCCCTTTAAAGTTTTCAACGATAGCACAGTTAAAGCCTTGGTGAATTCTGAATTTGCAGAACAGATAGCAGCACTGCTGTGAGCAGACCATCTAATTTGAAATTCACCTTGCCGTGATGAAACACAAGATCTGTCCTCTTTCTATTAAGCAACTTCAATCGTCTTTGTATTCTTCTCTCAAACACTACAAAGTAATTACTTGGTTTTCCAGTGTTGCAGGACTGTAACCAACATGTTCCTGGACCTAATCAAAGTACAACTTTTGATGCAACTACTTTCACAAAACAAAGTCTTCTCATAGTGAAACAGACTTAACTCTGAAAATACATGATACTAAAATAACAGCACATTGCACATTCAAATAAAAAGACTGGATGCAACTGCCTCAGGTTACAAATAAAGGTAGTGTTGTAAGTAACCCTTCCTCTTTGATGATGCTGATTAATATAAGCTAATAATTTTTACGATGACCTTTACAGCCTGTACAAATACACAGAAAATCAAACAGTTCTCTTAAATAAAAGCCAAAGAAACACCAAAGATGTTGTAAGAGATACCAATTTTAAGCTCTATAATTGTGGAGCATTTAGTATTCTGGCACTGATGTCTCCAGAAGACCATGACACGAAGAATAATGTCTTGCCTTGTCCCCAACCAGAATTCCCCAGTGTTCTATTAACCAAAATAAAAGTACTTTGTTATCTGAAGAGAACTTCAACAACTGATCGCAGGGAAAATGATTTATTGTAAATAGTAAAGGACTGGTTCTTTATTAAGTTAACTGCAACATCAATCTAGTTTAATTTGTATTTGAAATCATTCTGCCTGAAACAGTCTCCAGCAACTCATCTGAATGCAACCTAAATTACAATTACAAGAGGAATACCACCAAAAACATTTGTCTTGGCTAACTACAATCCAAAAGCTCATTTGGAAGCACCTGCAAGCAGTGTTTGTTGCCAAATAGAGAAGGCATGATTATGTTTCATTTGACAGTACGGAATTTAAAACTTCTGCAGAACAAAGAACTTTTTGTAACCATGGCTGATTATAATTACGAGTAGTTCAGCACTGCTGAGGTACCTTGGAATGCTCATTGTTTAACCTGGAAACAATCTGAATTAAAGCATAGAGTTCGCGCTGCCTGAGAATATGCACAAAAAAGAATCTCGCTGGCTTAGTCACTAAAATTTTGCCTTTGGGAATAAGTGAAGTTATTGCAATCAGAAAGTAGTTGTGCTGTAAGTTTGAAGCAAAGTAAATAAGTAAATAGAAAGTCTAACAACAGGAAATACCTATACCAGACCTGGTAAAATAATCCAAACGCTGAAAAAAACTTACTTTCTCTCAGAGTATACATGAGCTGACTATCTTTTGTGAATACATACCAGTGTATTTGACTTTTCCTTATGTTGTTAAAAAAAAAAAAAAAGCTTCAAATATGATGTGGTACAGAAAACATAATGCTGTTGTACCGAAATACTGAAAATGTTTGACACTGCAGGACACACTTTTTGTTCTAAGGTGATATACCGTACCAGGGTTAACTTTACCCCAGCCAAAGGTAGGACAACCATAACAGTCTTCATTAGTATCACCTGTTCTCTCCCAAAACATTCAAGCAAAAAATCTCAGCTATATTTCTGGCAAAACTTTGTTCCCCTAGACTTTTAAGCTAGTCTTTCAAATCATGATTCTTTTTATCTTCAGCTAAGTGTTGACAAATGCAAGTTAACTTTAATGTTAGTTGAAAGTTAAAAAAGCTACCCAGCAGAATCTGATTAATTGGGTAGGACATAATGATGGAAAATTTGTACCAGTATTCACGGCTGAGTCTGTGAGAGCATGCAACTGCTGTAGTCTGTGCTTCCTTGTAATCTTATAGCCCACAAGAAGGCATTGACATTATTAGACCAATTTCTTGGTATAGGATAGATGAAGAAGCTCACTGCTTATTTGATAATTAGCAGAATCAAAGGTGGGAGGGTTTTTAAGCAATATCAATATTCCAGAGATACAGACATAATCAAACAGACACAGCCCAATACACAGTAGAAGCATTCAAAAGTCAAAGACAAAGTACATAACTGCTTGTTGCTACCTAGGCATCTATCTTAATCACTACTGGATGCTGTAGAAAACAGATTGATTCCTGTTATGAAGCCTGATCAATACTTCTCAGA